AAAAAAAAACCAGTGAAGGTACCTATTGTCAATTTAGATGTGTTACGTATTGTAAACCATATTTTACGAATATATCTTAATTGTTTTTAATAATATGTAATTTTGTTCTAAAAAAATAATTAAATAAGACAATATTTCAAATAGTTTTATGAAAATGTTTTTTAAATTATAATATATCCATCATTGGACTAAGTTGAATTATGACAACTTTTTCATTGTTCAATTGCACATTTATTTATGTAAGTATATTTTAAAATACTATAAAAGATAATAAATTGTATATACTACTTTCAGTTTTATTGTACCTGGGATTTTAATAGGGCTGGGCCATCATTATTCATTCATTCTAAAATTCTAAATATCAAAATAGAAATTAGGATAATGATAATATAAACTATTATTATTCATGATTTACACCAGTAGTTCTTAACTAATGTTCCACATTTCATAAATACTCCATACACTTAATGAAAGTATTCTATCCAAATTTAAAATACAGTGAACAAATAATAATGTTTATTAAGAATTATTCTTAGTTCTATTTACTATAATTATGTTATTTTCTATTGACTGATGTGTTAACTGTTATGTAGCTTTATAATTTAAATGAAAGACATTTCCTATATAAGTATTGTTTTATTTTATTGCTATATATAAACCTTAAAAATTGAAAAAAAATAAGTTTTCAATGATTCTTAAAAGGTTCAGAACCACTGATTTAAACAATAAAATAGATTTACTTTTCTTTAATTGAAAATAATTAATGTGTAAATAGATACAAATTAAAAAATCTTTAAAATTTGCATAAGGTACCTAGCTATAATGATAAATTAATAAATACTTTCTTGCTTCTGATATTAAAATCTAGTTAACTAGATAATCATGACTTATTAATAAAATAATACGTTCAAGTTACTTATTAATAAATTACAATAATAATACTAATTTTCATGATTGTATTTTAAACTAAAAATAATGAACTATATTTGCTTACTATTTTGTAGGAATTTATCCTATATTTGGAGTGTATAAAAAGATAGTTAAAGGGAAAAGTTATTGAGATCTTGTAAATGTATACCCTTTATTTCAATTAAAAGTCTTAATGTATTTAGAAAACTTTAAATAACCATAGTTAATAAACTAGCAAACCAAAATTGATGATTTTAACTAAAAATATAGTTATTACTTATTACCAATGTTATTCAATGACATAAGATAATATACAAAGGGTGTGAATAATATTTATGATATCTAGATATCCACATCTAAATAGGCACCTATTAATAAAAATGTACTATTTTCTCATCATTTATAAATGTAGATACTAAAATAATATTTTAAAAATTTGGTAGCTGCTTCTCTACAAAATAATAGATTTCTTTATTTGTAGGTATAATAAATATTTTGTTTGTTCCTAATATCACTAATGTTAAAA